TACTATAATACATGTTACACTGTTAACTTTTAGCAAACTTTACTTTTGTTGAAAACCTTGTAAGTTTGGGATTTTAATTATCCTTTGCTATTAATGAGACCTTGTTTTGTCCAAATTAGAATTGGTATGCTGGCTTTCAAAGGAACAGGGTACACTTTTTTTTTCCTTAACTACTACATCTTTCTTTATCTCTTTGACTTTGTCTCTAACTTTCCTTTTGCCTCTGTCTCTTCCTCCCTCTCTCTGCCTCTTTCTCTCTCTCTCCTTGACTCCCTCTTTGTCTCTTCCTCTCTCTCTCTCTTTGCCTCTTTTCCTCTCTGTCTCTTTCCTTTCTCTTTCTCTGCTGGTCTTTCCTTGCCTCTGCCAGCTGCTTATGTTGCTGTTCTCTCAACCACCGTGTTTGGGGGTGGGGATCTAAAACAAGCTGGTCTGGGTTCCCTCCCTTACAGGTTACCTTGTGCCATACCTTTGAAACAAGGGACGTGTCAAGGCTTCCTTCTAATGGCCAACCTACCTCTAATGCTGGCCAGTCTATCTTAGACAAAGTTTTAAGTTTTCCTGCTGTCATAGTACTCCAGTCTCCCTTATATCCTTTTTTTTTTTTTTTTTTGAAAATTTTCAGCATAGTTCCTAGTGGGGGGGGCTTACTTTGTGCCTCACCCATGTTTCCTCAAGACAAAACACCATGCTCACACCACACGCACACCACAAAACAAAGAACAGGTAAAAAGGGCACACACACACACTTTTGTAGTTTACACCAAACCAAAATCAAAACCAAAATCAGAGTATCCAGAAATCCAAGCCAGGTCAAAACCAAAACCAAAGTATCAAGCAATCCAAGTCAAGTTAAAAACAGAAACCAAAGTGCTGATGCAGGCACACCGTGGGTGATCAGGCCACGCTTCCACTCAGATGGAGTGGGCAAGTTTCAAAGACTAGTCTTAACAAGTTTTAGATGTTCAGACTCCAAGTGCCCGTTCCTTCCCGGTGTTCAGCCACTGCGTTGATCCTCCACGGGGGCCTGCCACACACTGCTCTGGCGAGGCGTCCCACCGGGGCAAATGCCTACCCGGGAGCGCTCTCAGGATCCGCATCGCTCGGGCTGGTCGGAGTCCCCGGCAGGGATGTTCCACAGGGCAGGCTTAAGCCGCCTAAGGAGCTGCCTTGACCATCACCAATCACCTCGCTTCCCGGTCAGAGAACCAAGGAATGTAGCAGGACGAGCAGCCGACAAAACTCCTCAGACACCGAGTTACAGAAGGAAGGGGTTTATAAGTGCCGAGCTCCCCAAGTGAGCAATCCCTGTCCTTTTAAGGGCTCACAACTCTAAGGGGGTGTGTGTGAGGGGGTCGTGATTGATTGAGCAAGCAGGGGGTACGTGACTGGGGGCTGCATGTACTGGTAATTAGATCGGAACAAAACAAGATAGGGATTTTCACAGTGCATTTCTATACAATATAATCTATAGATAACAGAACCGATTAGGTCAGGGGTCGATCTTTAACTACCAGGCCCAGGGTGTGGTGCCGGGCTGTCTGCCTGTGGATTTCATTTCTGCCTTTTAGTTTTTACTTCTTTCTTTGGAGACAGACATTGGGCATTAGACAATATGAGGGGTAGTCTCCTCCCTTAAGGTGATGCACCTGCCTGGGCCTCCCGAAGTGCTGGGATTATAGGCATGAGTCATCGAGCCCGGCCCAGTGGAACGCTTCCTTCTGAGGAGGCAAAGATAGAGGCTGCTGCAGAACACAGGGATTCGCCATCAGTAACATACCGTGTGACTCACGTAGGTTATGAGCTTGGGCAAAGAGGGGTGTCATTTGGGGACTCCATCCCTAGCTGGGATGGCATGAGGCTTACCGGGGGCGTGACAGCCACTCTGCAACCCTCCCTATCCCCGTCCCCATGCCCGTGACCCTGCACCATCCATGTTCCGAAGGCAGGGCCAGCTCAGCCCCCCCCAGCAGGGAGCTGCCACTGAGCCTTCCTCTCCCAGAAGGAAAATGGATTCAGCCAGTGGCTCCCACCAGCCTGGCACCCTCGTGACTCAGCCCCATCTCCTCTGCCCAGAAGCAGCTTCAAGAAACTGTAATAGGATCCACGCCCTTGGTAAAGGAATGGCCGGGCCTCAGGGGCGTGGTGCTGCCACCCGGACATCAGACGGAATCGGGGTCGGAGGCTGGTTGGAAGAAAGTTGAACCCTCTCTGGCTTGCAGGCCCAGCTTGCCCTGGAGGGCGAGGTGCCCGCCGTGCACCGAAAGGCGTGGGGGGGTCGCTCGGCAGCCACACAGGCCCCTCCCTTAAGGACAGCAAGCACTAGCAGGGTAGAAAACACAGCGGCAGACAAGGGGCTGGAGAATAATAGATGCAAGTGAAAAGGGAGGAGACCACACCCTCCAAATTCAGAGCAGAGCCCTGGGCGTGGGTTTGGCCTGGGGCTACCAGTGATTCCCCCAAGCATCCGAAGGGGCACCGGGGGTCCCCGCGCAACTAGGTCAACACCCCATGCAGGCACGGAGGGGCTGCCACGGGGGCCCTGCTGAGGGGACTTTTGTCGTTTGCTCCCCAGAACCTCCCCCGCTTCTCCCTGCAGCACGAACTGGGGAGACAGCAGCGTGGGGCTTGAGGGTAATCCCCTGCAGAGCGCTGTCACTCCTCCCTCAGTGCCAGGTCTTGGTGGGGCTTCATCCCGGCCCCGGGGGTGGGGCACAGGACTCAGGCCTAAGCCAATCAGAGCCTTCCCTGTTTGCAGCGATGGGTCCAAGGTGAGCATGTGACCTAACCTTGTCCAATCAGGGTGAATCCGGGGCTTTTTTGCAGGGAAGGTGACACTAAGACGTTGTATCCTCTGCCATATTTGATGGACGCACAGGACCCATCTTGCCAGCCCGAGGAGTCAGCCTGCCTGAGATTTGCAGAGTCCTGTCGCACCCCAGAGCCCTTGGGCAGCTTGGCTGCTTTATTCCCAATTCTTCACCCTCCCCATGTCCACCTCATTGCAGGGTCCTCCCACAGTGACTCTGGCCTTGGCCACCAGGCTTGCTTTGGCCAGTGGGATGTGAGCATACAGGCCGCCAGTCAAAGCATGAAAACTGCAGTAGCGCTTGTGTGTGTGCCTGGGCCTATGTTATGAGAATGTGCCCTTGTTTAGCCATTGGAAGGATTTGGCATACCTGCAGGAGAACAGACCCACCCAGCTGACCCACTGACACATGGGCAATAATGAGGAGCAGCTGCTTTCAGTGACTGGGCTTGGGCGGTGTGTTACCCAGCAGCGTGGCGGCAGCAGCAGGGCGGGCCCCTAGCCACTCCGTTCCCGTTTTCAGTTAAACTGCATTGGGTTACGATTCAAAACATCCATCCTAACAAATGCATTACTCTAGCCCGGTCCACAGCTCAGGAACCATGGAGGAGTCATGGAGGAGACCAGAGACTAGAGGCATGGAGTTTTCATTAGAAGGTTGTGAGTTCATCTAAGGCCGGGTTATTTTTACAGATGGCAGGTTTACAAAACACACAAGTGCACAGACAGGGGTGGGAGGTAGCTTGAAATACACAGAATGTTTGCAACACTAGAGACGTTTTCTGGCCACCGTCAGGGGACTCGGAGGTAGGGTAGGCGTGGTGAGGCCGGTGGCTGGTGTCCGTGGCACAGCCTCCTGCAAAGGGGCTGCCCTGCTCCCCTGTTTCTGCGGTGCCAGGCTGTGCTCCCCAGATGCCTCCGGGGCGCTGAATATCTTTTCATAGTACTCGATCAGCAGCTCTGTGAACAGGTTGAGGGGCACAAGGGCACTCAGGGACGAGGACCCCTGGGATGGCCAGACCAAATTCAGCCCAAAGACACAGGCCAGGTTAGAGCTGTTCATTTTGTTGAAGATGCTCTCCTGGGACACCTGGAGGAAACCACAAATGAGAAAAGGGGAGTGAACACCAAGGGCCGTGGGGACCTAGACCTCCCTCCTGAACTGTGGGAGGGGCAGATGTAGAGAGAGAAGCACTGGACTGGGAGCCAGCAGCCAGTACGGGGACCCTGTACGGCCACCTGCCCACTCAGAGTTTCAGTTACCCTAGCTATGAAAGGAAGGCTTGGCCTCGACGTCCTGGAGGGCCCTCTGGCTCTTGACTTTCTGTGACAGCCTCAACACCCCACCACCTCCCTTCCACTGCACCGCCGGGGGAGATGCACTCTTGGGGACGGGCTGTAGCACAGACGGTGGGAACCAGGGCACCTCTCTGGCCCTCTGTGGGTGGCGAACTGGGCATGATGGGGACCAGCCAGCACGTAGGGGCGGCAAGAGTACAAAGGGCTTGCCTCCCAGAAGGGCTCCCTATCTGTCTCGGCCAACACTTATAGCACCCCCAGGAGCGGGAGTCCTTTCCCCAGCTTACAGATGAGGAACCTGGGGTCTGCAGGGCACAGGAGACTTGCCCAAGGTCTGTGGCCAGCCAGGGGCAGGGGGCCACGTGGGCCAAGGTGAGGGCAGGGCCTGTTCTCTTCTCCTTGCCACCCTCCAAGCTTTGAGCTGGGGGGAACCTAAGAGTCAGAAACAGGGGTCATGAGGCTGTGAGTGCCAGGGCAGAGCAGAGAACGGGAGGGGGGCATGGCCAGGCGTCATGCTTACAGATCTGGCGAGAATGTCCAGACTTGCCCAAGCCCTGCTTCAGTGAGACAGCCGGAAGCCTATGAGGCTCTGCGTGCCTGCCAGTTCCCACAGCCCCTTGCAGGTGTGCACCAGCCAGGCCCACTGCAGGCCACCCCTCCTCAAGCCGAGACTGCAGAGTCCTGATGAGGTCTTTGGTGGCCAGGGAGTGGTATTCCAAGGCCCAAGCAGGGCATGATCCCCCGAGTGCCACTGGGGGGATAACATGCAACACCACGCCCCACGAGGTGCATTCATATCGGTGCCGGTGGAGGAGGCACCTAGAGAGAGAAATCAGTCTCTCCCAATGAAAAAACTAGGCCAGGTGCGGTGGCTCACGCCTATAATCCTAGCACTTTTAAGAGGCCGAGGCAGGTGGACCACCTGGGGTCAGGAGTTCAAGATCAGCCTGGCCAACGTGGAGAAATCCCATCTCTACTAAAATTACAAAAAGTAGCTGGGCACAGTGGCACTCACCTGTAATCCCAGCTAGTCAAGAGGCTGAAGCAGGACATTGCTTGAACCCAGGAGGCAGAGCTTGCAGTGAGCCGAGATCTGGCCACTGTACTCTAGCCTGGGCGACAGAGCAAGACTCTGTCTCAAAAAAGTAAAATTTTGAAAGGAGAGTAAATTTTAGTTTTGGGCTTCTGAGAAATTATATCACAGGGTAGGGAGGAAAAAAAAATTGTTTGCTGTAAAACCAAGAGGTGGCAGGCATTCTCGGACAGACTCTGGGATGTGACGGCTGCTCTGCCCAGGCCCTCTCCCCTACAGTGGGCAATGCCTGCACCCTGCACGGTCTGAGGCAAAGGCCTGGGGAGATGGAGAGGGATAAACATTCAGGGCCGTGGGTCTGGGGGGTGGGGGTGGACCCAGGGGGCCACGTGGAGGCAGAGACTGGAGTGACCAGGTGCTGGGAGAGGCCAGGAAGGATCCTCCTCTAGAGCCGCTAGGAGGGAGTGCAGCCCAGTCCACCTTGATTTTGGACTTCTGGCCTCTAGAAGAGCGACATGATAAATTCTATTGTTTTAAGCCACCCACTGTGTGGTCACAGGAACCTAATGTACGTGGTTCTGGGTGTGTCCCTTCCACAGGAATGGTCAGTTCAGTCCACAGTGAGGGCCTCAGGCTCTGTGCCAGTGGTGGATGCAGCTGCTGCCTCCCAGAGACTCATGACATGGGGGCAAAGGACTCCAATAACGAAGGCAATGGCCAAGGGACAGCATGTATGGGAGTGGATGCCTGACCGGGCCTTGGATGAAGTCCTTGGTGGCCAGGGGCGTGGTCAGGCCCAAGCAGGGCATGACCCCAGACCTGGGGCAAGGAGGGAACTGGTCCAGGCAGGCCGAGCATGGCAGGAGATGCCACTGGGCCTCACCCCAAGCACCCCCCCCTTGCCCACTCACCGCGTGCAGGAAGCCCATCAGGTAACGGAGGACAACGTAGTTGTGCTCTGGAAGGCTCCGTAGGATCTGGCGGCAGCAGGTGACGCGCAGGCTGCTCTCCACACCTGGAACGGCAGGGGGCTCCCTCCTGAGCTCCAGAGGGGCCAGGGGCAGCACTACGCTCCGGCCCAGGAGGGGGGCAGCTCTGACGATGGACTGTCCCACAGTCGGGCCTGGGCCCCCCACTTACTTTCCGGCTGTGTGGCTTTGCTCAGCAAACCCTCTGTGTATTTGGCTGTTTTTGCATTGCTAGAAATTCCTGAGATAGGGTCTTTTATAAGAAAAGACGTTTAACTGCCTCATGGTTCTGCAGGCTGTACAAGCATGGTACCAGTCCCTGTTCAGCTTCTGGGGAAGCCTCAGGAGGCTTCCAATTATGGCAGAAGGCAAAAGGGAAGGAGGCGCATCACATGGCAAAAACAGGAGCAAGAGAGAGTGTGGGACACAGGTGCCATATGCTTTTAAACCAGATCTGGTGAGAACTCACCAACTCGTGAGGGATCTGCCCTCATGATCCAGTCGCCTCCCACCAGTCCCCACCTCCAGTGGCGAGCATTTCAATTCACCGTGAGATGTGCTGGGGCCTCCGATCCAAGCCCTATCACCTGAATTCTGCACGCTCCATTCCACTGCTTTATCACCCAGCAGCACCACCTTCCAGGAAGCTGCTAAAGCTGAATCACTTTAGAAATGGGCGTGATCTAGGCCAGGGGTTGGCAAACTACTACGGGTACAGACTCTGCTGCAACTACTCGGCTCTGCCCTGATGAGGCAAAAGCAGCCACAGGTAATGTATAAAGTGGCCGTGGCTGTGTTCCAAGGAAACTTTATTGGCAAATACAGGCAATGGGCCAGATCTAAGCTGAGTAGTTGCAACAGAGACTGCGTCCCACCCTCCAGGGGCCTGATGCAACTGGCCCACACTCTGAGACCCCCCAGTTACCCTTACAACCACCTCCACCCTTTGAGCTCCATAACCTTCCAATCAAAACCTACCAACCAGCCAGGCGCAGTGGCTCACACCTGTAATCCCAACACTATGGGAGGCTGAGGCAGGCGGGTCTCTTGAGGTCAGGAGTTTGAGACCAGCCTGACCCAACATTGTGAAACCCTGTCTTTACTGAAAAAAAAAAAAAAAATTAGCCAGGTGTGGTGGCACACACCTGTAATCCCAGCTACCTGGGAGGCCAAAGCAGAAGAATTACTTGAACTCGGAAGACAGGTTGCAGTGAGCCGAGATGGTGCCATTGCACTCCAGCCTGGGCAGCAAGAGCAAAACCCCATCTCAAAAAAAACAAAAAAACCCACCAGCAAACACGTGAACACATGCACATGTGTGTACTCAGCCACATGCATGCCCATGCTACTAGGTACCCACATCCTCCAACCCACCAACCACCCTCTCCCTGAGCCTTGCACAGAGTTGCTGGTGAACACTGGGTGCTCTACACCCACCCACTCGGAGAGATACAACTCCCCACTAGGATCATTCCTGTTGGCTTCTTAATAAAAGCCATCATTCCATGAAATCAAGCTGCTGTTAGAAAGGAGTTCCCTTGACTATTTCAACTGAGCCTGGTGGCTGCCATCTCCTCCTCGGGGTGTTACAGCCTGAACCTTATCTAAGACTAATGGTCCCAAGTGGGTACTGGTGCAGGTCACCCTCAGCCCCCACTGGGGTCCTCTGAGACGAAACACCTGCTGGCAAGTAGGCAGGACGGGTGAACTGAGCATCACAACCGCCAATGTCACTGAGCACTCCCTACAAGGAAGCAAGCAGGTCAAGCGTTTCAACAACCCCAGTGTAGAGAGAGAGGAGGAAAGCGAGCTCTGAGAGGTTAGGTGACTAGCCCAAGGTCACACAGCTTGCACGTGGGAGGCTGGGCCTTGAGGACTCTCTGACCTCCCCTTTCTCCTCCGGAGCAGGCCATGAGACCATCCCATGAAAGGCGACTTCCCTATACCCAGAGGGAAGGGGCATTCTCATCTCTGAAGATGGTATTTCCCCTAGTTTCCTGCCCGAGGCTCAGACCCCTCTGTCCATCCCTCTCCCACACCTCTCCACTCTTCAGCCGACCTGGCGTCTGCACCCTCAGTGGACCAGGTCTCTGGGCCTTCATTTCCTTACGAAGTCACCCCTGTCATGTACAACTTCCAGTAAATACACTGGTGTGTTTTTCTCTTGTGAATCTGTCTTTTGTCAGTCCAAGCACCAGGGCCCCCACCAAGGAACCTAACATGGGTAGAAGGAAAAGATTTTGACCCTCCCTGTGGTTTCTCTGTAGCCATGGGGATGAGGTACCCTTGGCTGGAACACCTCGCTCGGTCTGGGAGCTGCAGAGAGAGCCAGGACCCCTGGTAGAGCCGGCCAAAGGTAAGAATTCTTACTCAAGGCTGGTCGTGGTGGCTCACACCTATAATTCCAGCACTTTGGGAGGCCGAGGTGGGTGGATCACCTGAGGTCAGGAGTTTGAGACCAGCCTGACCAACATGGAGAAACCCCGTCTCTACTACAAATATAAAATTAGCTGGCTGTGGTGGCGCATGCCTGTAATCCCAGCTACTGGGGAGGCTGAGGCAAGACAGTCATTTGAACCCCGGACGCAGAGGTTGCGGTGAGCCGAGACTGCACCACTGCACTCCAGCCTGGGTAACAAGAGCAAAACTCCATCTCAAAAAAAAAAAAATTCTTAAAGTCAGCCTCCCGGATTTCTGTCTGCAGCACGCAATTGTGTGAGGGTGGTCAAAATCTGTGTCTTCTTCCTTTCTGAATTTCGACCAGCAGAACAACATTCAGAATGGGTTCTTTGGCTTGTGACTTTCACGAATCTGATTTCGAGGACTCCTCGGTGATCTCAGCCTCCCAGGAAGAGTCACTGTTTGCCTTTGTCTCTGTCTCTTGGGTTATTTGTTTTGAGGAGGAGAATCATGGGATAAGATTCTCCTTTCATCTTGTTTTGTGTCCTGAGAACTTGCCTTTATGGCCAGTTTGGCTTCCAAATGCCTGGAGGAACAGTCAACAGCCAGGATGCAGCCCCAAGAATTTATAGGCCGGGTGCAGTGACTCACGCTTTTAATCCCAGCACTTTGGGAGGCCGAGACGGATGGATCACCTGAGATCAGGAGTTCGAGATCAGCCTGGCCAACATGGTGAAACCCCGTCTCTACTAAAAAAAAAAAATACAAAAATTAGCCGGGTGTGGTGGCAGGTGCCTGTAATCCCAGCTACTTGGGAGCCTGAGGCAGCAGAATCACTTGAACCTGGGAGGCAGAGTTTATAGTGAGCCACTGCACTCTGGCCTGGGCAACAGAGTGAGACTCCGTCTCAAAAAATAAAAAGGGAATTTTATATCTGGGCAGACAGAAATGTGAGTTGCATTCTGATATGTTGCAAGGTGTTGCCTCTAAACCTCATGTTGAACTGTAATCACCAATGTTGGAGGTGGGATGGTGAGGGGTGATGAAATCAAGGGGGCAGATTTCCCATAAATGGTTATCGCCACCTCTTGGTGCTGTTCTCATGATAGTGATTTCTCAAGAGATCTCGTATAACTGTGGGGCATGACCTCACCCCGTCTCGCTCCCACTCCCACTGTGTGAGGCGCCTGCTCCTCCTCCGTCCTCTGCTGAGACTGAAAGCTTCCTGAGGCCTCCCCGAAGCCAAGCAGAGCCAACACCATGCTTCCTACAAAGCCTACAAAACCATGAGCCAACGAAACTTCTTTTCTTTATAAATCACCCAGCCTCAGGTATTTCTTTATAGCAACGCAGACTCGGTGACAGCCGACATCCTACCAGCCGCCACCAGCTCTGGGGTGCTTGTCTTTTGTCTATCTGTGGGGTAACTTTGGGTCTTGGGGGTACCAGCCATCAACTCTGGGGTGTTTGTCTAAGTCTGTCTTTTGGCTATCTGTGGGGTAACTTTGGATCTTGGGGTACCAGCTATCACCAG